ATGTTGAAGCCGATGCTGACGTAAAATTGAAACGTGCTCGCGGACAGAATTTCATGATCACTTTGAAATTTTCCCGTCAAGAGCAACAATGGATGACATCAAAGTCAAAGGGATTTTATTTCTGACGTACTAAAGTACGTCTTCAAAACTGAGGACCTTGTGGACTTTGCTTTTAGACCTTTTTTGTGGTTGCAAAACTATTTCCATATTACATACAATTATCATTTTTGTAACGCCAGGTACGCATAATACAATATCAACAATGCATTTCGGCCTTGAAAAACGCCAATCTTTATCACAGTAGTCAGTAAACAACGTTTTTGAAATAGCTGTCTGCACGTGATGGACCCCTTAAATCAAACGCACTTATACCATGAAAAAAAAGTTATTGAAATAAAAAAATGTCGCTATTTAACAAATAGACGTTCTTAGAGCGTATACTCGGACTGCAATGTAGAGCAGCGTTCTAAGGTCCGGCACTGCACGCGTACGTCCTTGTTCATGTCGTTATTGTTGGTGAAAGAGTTTTTATTCTCATTTTTATCTTATCTTATTTATTTAATATATATTTTTGCACACTTCATCCTCCGAATCATATGTGCTTTAAGATTGAAACGTTTTGAGTTTTTACAAACTGGCGTTTTAATTTCTGTGTATTTGTCCCCTAAAAATTAGCATATTTATAGGTCTAGAAAAAATCAAATTTCTCGAAAACAATAAAATATTTTCAAAACCAACTATATGGTTGTTCACTATAACATAGGGTACCTAACTTGAAAGTATGAGAGAAATCGATATTTCAAGTGCTGCCACGATTTGTTTGTTTTTTGGTGACATTCACTCTTAAAGGGACACTGACAATGGATGACATGCGCAGTAACAGTCTCACCTCTAACGGACTTTGAAAGTATTACCTTCGAGGTAAATCATTTTGTACCCTGCGAGCAGAGGAATTTAGGGGGTGGAAAATTCCTCTGCTCGCAGGGTAATCATTTTGTGGTGCTTTTGACACACTTTGGAATATTCTAGATCTGTTTACGTTTACAAGCTGATTTATGTCGCGCCAACTTGGAGTCATAAAATTGAAAACACTAGCCTAATGTTTTCAAGTTTACTCGCGCATGCGTGCCATTGACAGTGTCCCTTTAATTGTTCAACAACGTCTGCTCTATACAGCCACAGCTTGWGATTAAAGGGCGAGCAGACGATCATAGGCCGTTTGCATTAGACGTAACTTTACTACAACTACCAGAAAGCCTTGCGCATTTTCATTGTTATTCAGATTTTTAATCACCTTGGAGATTAATAAAACAATTGGCACTAATTGCATTACAAAAGAAAGTTGGCAAAGCATTTTGGTAGTTGTAGTAAATGACGCCTTAATGCATATCGCCTATTCCCAAACAAGAAGGCTTGTGCAACGTTTATATCAACACTAAAATCCTTCTAAAAATCAATGCAAATTTTTCAATTCATTCAAGGACAATAGCAGTTAGTAAATGYAYTCGTAAGCAAAGAAAAAACAGTCCTGTTCTATAATATATGGTTTGTAGATCTTGTTTGGCATCTAATCCAGGTWAAGTCAACCGGCCGAAGTATTTTTGTTCATCTATGCAAATGAGGCTTTGAAGSCAATCCTGGATTTTTCCAACTTACTCCAGGTTCATATACTCCGACTACAATTCATGKAACTGAATTCTTTTCTAGTTTTGTTTTATAATAAAATCCCTTGTAGCTTTAAAAGTCAAAAAGTTCTAAATGGAAAAAATTATGTTTTGAAGAACATAGAGCGTCAGCAATAAATTAAATAGAGTTTGAAAGTATTTGAGGTTGTAGTGCAAGAAAAGTAGGGCAAAAGCGCCACGAATTAGCTCAATAACAAGGACTTTCATACGTTTAACAAAAAAACGTACGCTGGTACGGTACAAATTAAATCATCAGTTGTTTTAGCAATGTGATTTATCTTCACAAAAACACTAATAATCRACAAAGAAAACACTTACATCGCGGTTTCTCTGGCCAGAGTAGACGTTGTCTTGCTCAAAACATCACATCATCGATGCCAGGACCAAARAAAATATTCAGAATTTCGAATCATTTTTGGATGTAAAAACGTGCAAACATTAGCATTTCTCGCAGCCATGATTTAAGTGATTTGTAAATGCAGCTATTGTGTTTGGAARTGACAATGGCTATTATGCATTATAGTAACTAGTATCTAGAATCTGATTGGCCTGCATTCAATTTTCACAATCAGAACACCGAAGTCGCGGCCTGCAGACTGTGCACTTAAAATTGCTCTATGCATGGGTTGTTTCTTTCGAGTTTAAAATGCAAGCAATATGTTATAAAACAATTTATAARTTCGGTTTTTGTGATTTTTGACCTCGGATGAATACACATGCCGATCTCGATTATTTCTGATATCAAAGAAACCGCATCAAATAATTGTTTACACACGGGATCATGTAATATATCATATTACCAATATGGCAGCCATTTTGAATTCTTTTTTTTTTGTCACCGGTTGAATAAGCTCGCTTTGATCACTACAAATAAATGCATAGGGAACGGTTTTGAGGATGTTCATGATATTCGGGGACCCAGGGGCAATACGTTCGTTCCTCACTGACACATCCCGAGGATGGATACTCGAATTTCAATTATAAATGAACAAATTTTATTATTAATATCAAAATCTATTCTTCACTATCAATTTTATAGAAASTTGTCAAATTTCAAAGTACATATTACAGATAAAATGCAAATGTTATTGAAAACAATTTAATAAAAATAGTCTCATTAAATGTAGAAATTTAATATCATTTTGAAAATTACATGAATCAGTGCCGGTGGCAGAGAAAAGAAAATGTCTTTTCTAAGAATTTGTTAAATATTCAATTCAGTGAAATAATTTTCCCCTTAAAAACAATTCAGGTTGAAATCATTCTAAGTCTAAATATATTTTAAAATACAAAAGATTGAAAAAGCACATTTACTATTCAAATTCATTTTTTTCTATTTATATATAATATGCTTGAATAAAATTGTGCAATTTGATTGGCTTAGAGGAGTGGTATTTATCTTTGATAGTGGTACAGTATTTCAGCAAATTGCACAATTTTATTCAACCATTTTATAAACAAATGATAATATTTTTTTACGTGGAATTTGGGATAAATACCACTCTTGATATTTCAAAAATATCACGAATTTTGTATAACAAATACCACTATAAAACATGCTATTACCTGTAGATACAAATCCCATTATTTTATAAATCCAAAAGGCGCCACTATTTTAGCAATTAG